GGGGGGGGGGGGGAGCGCCCAGACTAGCCCAAATAAAGCGGACGCACTTGCACAGCCACCACGAAGTTATTCATGTGATCCAGTTTGTGGTCTGGCTTGATGGCATCGCTAATCCAGCGTAAACCTCATGAGGTCAGTTATTGCTACGAGATATTCATCCAGAAAATATCCACTGAGAATCAATTGAGTGTGGCGGATGGAAACAAAACCAATTAATGACGTGATTTATATGATGACGACAATGAGACACTTGTCCAACTGTGAATTTATAATATAAAAATTATGATAATTAATTGGAAATATACAGTAATCCGTCTCCACTTGGCCTGGCTCTCTTTAATGGGGGTTTTCACCTTGAGGTGGACTTTCAGTTCTCCAGGTTTCTATCAAATTTACATCACAATCCGGAACTTAATTTACATTAAAGGCGTGAAACGAACAATAAAACCAGAAAGCATGTGTTTTTGTTTTCCCTAGAGAGAGAGCAGTGGAAAAACACTGCCCTGGTTCACTTAGAGAAATTCTTTCACAATTAAAGTTGTGTTAAGTAAAGATTAATACAATGCTTTTACTTTAAAAAGGATGTTTAAACTGTACTAAAATATATGGATATGATTACCAACAGATCCTTTTCACTGTCGTCTTTCTGCTGGGAGATGCCCCGACACACACGGGCCAGTGTGACCGCTCTAACCTGTTAACATGGGCGCCGAAATAAAAACCAAGACGCACAAACGCCACGCAGTCATGGGCAGTGTGAACCACGGGTACGGTAGAGCAGTTTCCAGTGATCTGTCAGTGGGTTAACGTCTGATTCAATCACCTCCCAAGTGTAATTCTGGTCCGCGCAAAATCACGAGGCCCCCTAATCCAAACATATACCAGCTGAGCTTTTCCAGACCACAATGAGTTTAGTTAGGTTTATGGGCTGGAGGCCAAATATGTTCATCTGATCATGGCTAACATCCTGAAGTACAAACAATAAAATACAAAGGAGCCGTTGCTGACTGAGAGTTAGATGATAGCACTCCCATGTCATGCACGGTGAATTCGAAGCTGCAGCCGGTTAGCTTAGCTTAGCATTAAAAATGGAAACAGGAGGAAACAGATAGCCTGGCTCTGTCTTAAAGTGACACAGTCGGCCTACCAGCACCTCTGAAGATGACTCATTATCACCACATATCGTGTTTGTTTAACACGTATTAAAAAACCACAGTGTAAAAATGAAAAAGTTGTGGTTTTTACAGCTGTTTTTCTTAGCTGGGAGCAGTGACTTCCTGCAGTCTTGTCATCACCATTAGTTCTTAGACTTCAGGACCACAACTTGTTTTCTACTTTGTTTTTTTTAATAGATTAAACTACATATAACCTGTGAACTAATCTTTATGCTAAGCTAAGCAAACGTCTGCTAGCTCTAGCTCTATATTCACCATATAAACGTTAGAGTCTAACTCTCTATGATAAAGCAAATAAGTGTATTTCCCAATTTTTGTTTTTGTTTTAAGGTTTAGGAGCTACTACAAAAGGCTTTTTAATTTTTTAATTCTTGCCTTTTCATCTATATCCGTGGGAACAAAACAGTTTTTTTTTTTTTGGCTATCACTGAACCAACCAAAATCATCCGATCCTCTCTGTCCTGGTTACAGTGTCAAGGCCGGGCAGTAGCTTTCATCCTCTCATGTGACAAATGAGATTAAAAGCCAGGGGAGCTGCAGAGAGGAGGTGAGAGGCTCTTGCGTTTTGACATTACAAAATGAATCAGACAATCCAAGAACAGACAGAAGAGAGCCAAATGATGCATTTAAATCTGGCATCCGGTTGTTTGTGTAGCCAAAAAGGCAATCGAAGTAGTGCCAGTGACGTCAAACAGCAAGCAGAGAGAACGCAGGAGGGTGGATGGGGATTGAATAGTTAATAAACATGTATTTGTCACATGATTGAATAGGAAAACAAGAAGGGACAGCATTTAGATGATTGAGCTGTTTTATGTAGACAAGAACGTTAGAAGAGGGAAAGTTGCACGTCTCAAGGTGCATCCTCCTCTGCTGTGGTGCTGAGAGGCTGCACAATACCCCCCCTCCAGACAATCGTATAGCACAGACACTGAATTAAAGGAGCCACCTACCTATGAAGGATTTCTTGCCGGTCTTCATGTCCTCCTAAGTGTTTGATTATATTTGCTATTGAGCACTGGGTCTCTGGTGAGTGAGTATCTGTCTGCTGCAAAGCGTCCAGGTGATTGACTGCATGAAAAAAAGATGTCCTTTAAATATGCGTCCCTCTCCTTCTCCGTCTTCTCTTTCAGTGGCTCTCACTGCAGCTCTGGTCTGAAAAAGTGTTCGATTCACAGGCAAATAACTTTCCCCGCTGCACTTCCCTCTTTCCTCTGCTGTTTCTTCCTCTTATCGCCTCGCCTGCGCTGAGACCAAATAGCTGAAACCAAAGATCTGTGACGCACCTGCTTCTCCTCCTCTATACAACCCCCCCCTCACCTACAACCCGCCCTCACCTCCCCTCCACCTCCACCTCCACCCTCATCTGTTCTTTTATCTACCTGGAGAGCATCGAACAAAACAAAAGCAGGTGTCTGGTTACGGCTCCCGTGAGTGTGGGAGTCCCACCGGAGGGGAAACCAGTTTCCATGACACGGGAACCACCTGAGGAATAGAGAGAACCCACAGAGAGGTCTTTAAAACTGGGTTTAATTAGCCACTACTGCAAAAGTGACGTGTTGGTTGCTCATCAGCCTCCTCTACCTCCTTCATTTACTGTCTCTGAGGAGTTTAGGGGGTAAATTTATCTGGTTAGTCACACTGACAGCCCTGATTGCTTTGTTAGCTGTCTGCCTCGGGCTGTAGGCCATCAGATACAAGTGAGTGCTGCATGATGAAGAGCGAGGTCTGCGGGGGTTGACGTACAGGAGCAACAGCAGCATCATTGATGAGTTTTTTCACACAGTCAGGAGTTATGATTATGATTTCGCTTTGGAGGCTGGACAAGAGCACTACAGTCGTACTGTATTTAGTTTACGCAGATGAGAGGATGTGATAAATCTATTACTCAAGTTTACAAGCTGAAAATTTACAGCCTCAACACCGACAGCCTCAACAAAACCAAACATAAATTCAAAATGATTGCTATTTACTGCTTCGCTGCCCTTGAGGCTACAGACACATTATACAAAGTGTAATATACAATGCTGTATACATACAGAAGGGTGAGAAATTATGATTTAGTGTCATAGTAAGATGTTGCTCCACCAGAACAGCTTCAGTATAGACTGTACAAGTCCCTTAAAGGTCCAGAGTTTAAGGAAATTTAGTGGACTTCAGCGCTCACCAAGTGAGAAGGAGAAACTACGGTGGCCGTGAAGCCAGCCCCTGTGCTAGAGCACGGTGTTTGGATGGTAGAAACATGGGCAATTTAAGCCATGGCGGACTCAGCTTGGAAGGCAACAACTAGCATCTTTAGATTAAAACGTGCTGCATTCTAAGGTAACCAAAAATCATAATGATCCTTAATATCAGGTGATTATACACTAATAAAAACATACTTATATAACAAAATTATATTAAATTTCTGCCAATAGATCCTCCTGAATGTGGACCTTTAAACTCTACTGGAGGGATGAACAAAATCCTTCCAAAAGACACTGAATCATTTTCTGTTTCATTGATGGTAATCAATCATTCTCACACTCACAAGGTTTATTCAGATATCTGCTTTAATTCGTCACTCGTCTCTATAAAGACCTTTGTAGGAAGGAAAGCTGTGGTTTCCCTTTTCAGGCTGATATCAGTTTGCACCACAGCAAACCTGAGAGTTGGCATTAAATGATCTGTATCTGGATAATGACATTCAATACATAGAATGTATTTACTGCTGGTATTAATAGGGGTTCTTGTTATCTCGATTCTGCCTCCATTGCGATCAGATTTCAGTATGCTAATTAGTTAGGTTGTAATGACATACAATGCCAGAAGACACATGACTTCACAGGACAACAACTTGGTCAGGCGTCATTTATTATTGAAGCACTTTTTTCCGAGGAAAGACTGCTGCTACTTGCAGCTTTTGTTGGGCGTTCTTGAGCTAACAGGATGTTGGCGACCTTTCAATTTGCTGAATGCATTTTTATCTTAAGAATGTGGTCGCACTGCAGGTTGCATTTACACCTGGCTTCACGTGGCACCAACCAGGTGTAAATTCTGTCATGTAAGTCAAGTTAGACTGCTACAATGAGTGCGTGTGATTTCACTTTGACTTAACAGCTGTGAGACTGAACCTACTCGAGACATGAATCCCTAAATACTTGACTTTATACTTGACAGCAAAAACATTGAATAACATTTTCTCAACATCAACAGGCCTTGCATGGACACACACCTTGGACACTGAATTGTTAGTCCCATGCATTAAAGGGACTTAGTTTTCAGGGATGTAAAAACACTATTAACCCAACTTTGAAAAAGAAAGAAAAAGTTAGATTTTTAATGGTCAGACACCTGAAAGGCTTTCAACTAGAATTGCAGTTTGCCTATAAAGAAATGACATTCCTCCCAAACAAATGCCTGAGTGAGTTCAACCCTGCAAAACATGCAAATTCACTTGGACATAACTCAATCACAGTGATCGGCCTCAATTTTCTATCCTAATTCTGACATAAAGTTCTCTTATAATGATAATTGTGCAAATATATATTTGCATTGCTGATGAAAGAATAGTCTTTACATAATTACTGAGTATTCTGTCTGTCATGCATATTTACAATGCCAGACGCCTTTATTGAAACTGAATCAAAAGCCTCTGATGCACAGATTCTTGCCCTGCTGCTGAACTCCGGCTTCACAGCAAACAGAAACTGCTCCCACCTCCGACTAACAAGCATTATTTAAATTTCAAAAAACCTCAAGAGGTCAAGGAGAGTTTATAAATGTACTCATTCAAATTGGCTATAAAAGTGAGCCGGGCCTCCTCTTTAAAGCATCCACTGAGTCATCCTATATCTACAGCCCTGTGTTGAAATGAAGCAGCTTCGCCAACAAACATATTTTTTCAGCCTGCTCATCACATTGAACAACACTGCACGGCATAGTTCACAGGGAAAGTGAAAATAAATACAGATTGATATCATGTAACTTGAGTAAAGACTGCAGGGATGGGTTTTTTTTTTAAATAGAAATACAGCCAGTGTTTCATGATGAAACTGAACCACAGGAATAATACGTGACTAACTACTTTGGCTGCAGAGATTTGCATGTAATTTGAAATTAGGGCGAGCAGCAAAGTGTAAGATGGAGTTTGGTGTGAGATAGAGTGACGCAGAAACAGGGCGGATATGTTGATTCAGACATGTGATTGTTTGTCAGCTTGTCGAGGAGTCAAGTTACCACAGAATGAGAGAAACAATTGTTTGCTATGTTGCTTGTTTACTTGACTTTTTCCCGTCAGACACAAATACTTAAATCAAATTTTTTACAGTTGTTTGTTCAAGAGAAAGAGTGAGGAACTGGTTAATGTAATGCTAGAAGATTGATACCATCTCCCGTCTGTTTGTTAAATATGAAGCTAAAGCCAGGAGAGCCATTAGCTTAGCTTAGCATAAGGACTGAAAATGGGGAATAAGCTAGCTTGGCTCTATTCAAATGTAATGTAAGTGTGTGTGAATGTGAATTATCTTCCTACCAGGACCTCTAAAGCTCCACAAATGAACGTGTTATATCTTTATACTCTGACCCTCATATGGAGTGCAAATACAATATAAGTGATAAGTATGTATAAAGTATAAAGTATAAGTATGCGTTCATCCCGTCCTGCTGTCTCCTACAGATCTGCACCAGTGTTTGTCCAGAGCTTTCCTGCTTCAGCATTACTCAACCCAATGACCCTTCTTTCCTTTTTTGCTCAAGAACAGTTGAGCAAGCCTTGGTCAACTTTCTCCTTTCCTGTACTTAGATACACTGTGTCCTAGGCGTGTCTATGATGAAAAAGAGAAATATATGAAGCTTATAGTCATCTTAAGTTATCCAAAGTTTGTTCAGAACGACCACGCTCCTTTTTAGGTGAAACAAAGTGTAAAATTTCCCAGTGGAACAATTTCTAAAAACACCAGATGATAAAAAATGAATGAAAATGGTAAATGTATGTGTCCGTCTGTGGCAAACACTTCTTCACATGTTAGTTAATGATGTTAGTAAATGACACGTGTGCCGACTAAGTCAGTTAAGAATCAGTAAAGATTAAAAAAAACTATTGTTAAAACTGAGTTTTAAGTAAAATAAACTAAATTTCGTAAGTTAAAAAACATTCTTGATCAAGTAGATTTAGTAATTTTAAGTAACACTGACTTAATTTTGTGATATGATATACAAATTACTACATAGTAAATGTACCTAATCAGGAATATTTCTTTAACTTACAAAACCAAGTTAGTGTCACTAATTACTAGTAAAAGCTGCTTAAGCAAGAATCTCTTTGAACTTACAAAATTGAGTTTGTGTTGCTTAAAATGTCCGATGTAATTGTTTTGAGTTAAAATAATCGTATTATAGTTGTATATGTCAGGACACTCATCAGCCTCTATTTCTTATGTACAACCACAACAGTTTAACATCATTGTCTGCTGACTAGACATATGATTATGCTTCAAATAGCTAAAAAGCAATACAGTGTTTTAATTTTATGCTATTAAATTGGTGAAGACCTCAGAGTTTGCATTTACCGCCGGTCAAATTAGAGGTACATGACTCAAGGGCAAAGTACCCAGATGGGCTGCTGTCATCTATAGATGTAGATTATCTAGTGTTAGTTAGTATTAGCTAACCTGAAATGTGACTCCTGTCAATGTCAATATTACCCTTCCACTGTAGATGAGCACACAGCACAGAAAGTTGACAGAGTATCCAAAAGGTACTTAGGAAGGGTAAGTGAGTGAACTTGACAGACAAATAACCTGTGAGCAGGAACGAGGAGGCCAGAGGAGGCCCAGGGATTGAGATCACTCTGTCTGTACAGTAGGTCACTCTGGGAACAGCGCCGGCTCACCTGTTTCTATCTTTAACCTGATTAGCAGCAGGTCATGTTGGAGAAGATCTGTCAGCTGTGTGTGTGTGTGTCAGCTCAGCTCTTTCATTGTAAAAGTCAAGGAGGCTGGTTCCCATCTCTCCTAATGCCAAAACTGTCTTTCTGTAGAGTATGAAGAGACTTTGAAGAGATATAGGAAAACTGAATTTTGTTCAGTTTCCGGGATGTCACAGAGAAACCTGATGCCAGTGTCCGTTTGAGGGTCAGCCCTGAGGTGAGGGTGGATTTAAAGGGATGCTCTCTAGACATGCAAGAGCTTATCACCTGCTGCCACATAAATAGAAACCTGCTGGGTTACTTT